GGCTGGCCTTCTACCGGGCTCGATGTATGGCCCCTCTCGGGCTCCTCGTTGCTGGCCCCCTTCACACTGGGGCCCCTCACACTACCGCCCCCACACACCAGGGCTACGCAACCCACTAGTTGCAAGTGGCAGGCACACACAGTGCACTATCACACACCTCCTCCCTTAAATGGGACTCTCATCAACGCCCCCTCTCACCAGTGCCCCCTCACACCGGGGCTACGCACCCCACTGGTTGCTCTCACCACTGCCCCCTCTCACTGGGGCCACCCCCTCGCTGGGGTCACCGTACCCCGCACGCAACCCACCGGTTGCACATATGCATAATACTAGCTTAAAGCCAAAAGGCTCATGATTTACTGCACTGGGCTGAGCCCCCAGCAGAGTCAACAGCATTTCAAGACATGGTAACCCCACAGCTCAGCACTGCTCAGTACATGGGTGTACTGCAGACACCCCCCAAAAAGGATCTATTTGCTAATTACTCTCCCCCCTATTCGTGACTGAAACCAGACATTTTTGTTAGGAGTTCTGGGATTCTCCAAAAAATTTTATGCAGATGAGGCACAGGGCAACGTGGTCCAGCTCACATAGGGCAGGCAGGGCCACAGTAATCATATGCAACAGGCTAAGAGAGGGAGTGACAGAGGAATTTGGGGTGTACTGTTTGGGGCCCCTTTTGGTGATGTTTGCCAGACACTTAAGGCTGGTGAAAAAACAGGAATCATTTGAAATGAGAAAGAAAGGTGCAAGTCAGCTGTGGGAGTGAAAAGGAAGTAGAAATGTATTTAATTGTAGAGGTTCACCATGACCTGAATGTGTGTCAACACTGCATGAGGGGGTTTCCATGCAATGGGCCATACTACATATCTTATTCAAACTGGCTGCACTCATCTATCCGTGTGGAAGAACACTTACTGGTTGTAGTCCCACATATGGTGTTTGAGCAATTGAGTATTGCTCAAATCAAGAGGATTTGGAACTGACTTGGCTGATTTGACCTGGAATATAAATGTTTTTTTTCCCCCAGAAAATAAGTGTGATAGGTTCCCATGAGCATGTTTGCCCAACATGAGCCATATGTTTTATAGTCATGCCCAGTGCTGTCTGCAATTAATCAGCTTCATGGTTGGTTTCCATTACTGAGCACATGCTGCTGCTGGCAGCAGTTCTATGATAGACAATATATTTAATGAGGTTTCCTTGTATGCAAATGTAAAGATGAGGGTCTTTTCCCCCCATGCTGATGGGGAAAATAAAAAGTATTCGAGTAAATATGGTACTCATTCTCAGCCTGCATAAAATTTAACTTTTTGAAATACTATTCAAAAGAGATACTACCAACTACAAAAAAAGTACATCTCCAGCACAAAATGTTCTATTGTAACAAGCAACTCAAAGTTACCATGATCAAACCGGGGAAATATTTGCTCTTCGGTTTTTTCAGTTTGTTCACTTCCCTTTTTTTTTTTTTTTTTAGCGTTATGTATAATTATTGGTCTCGTTATTTTGTTGATAGCATAGCAGGTGTCAGAAACCATGGACCATTGCAGGCTTCTCTTTGCCTCTCAGAAGGGCCAGTGCCTGTGCCTATCCTTGCCACTAACCCCATCTCCTTTGCAGTGAATGTTAAGCATAGATGTAACAGAGCAACAGACTCCACAGCAGAGGGAAGTGAGCTCAGCAGAGAGGATGGGAGGCACTGTACAGCTCTGTACCATTGATGCCCCTCTGCCAGATGGAACTTTACAGGTGGGATTCATCCCACAGGCTGCAGGTTGCCAGCCACAACAAACACCCTTCTGCAAATCTTTCAAGAGGATGCCTATCTGAAAGCAGGATTTCACCCCATGTCTCTGCAGCAAACAATGCTCAACAATACTGGGTATTAAACAATGCTCAATACATTTAATATGTATATTAAACAGAAAATATCCTCATCTTTCAAACCTTAATATCTTGATCTGAAAAATAAACTTCTTACCTTGATATAAGATTTCTAAGCCCCTGCTAAGTCGCACTGAATTATTTGGCATTTCTCATCTTAACAGAGAGTTTAAGTGATATTTCATCTCATCTCAAGTAGCTCTCTCCAACTAGAAATTCCAGGAGATTCCTTGAAGCACCTAGAAATATAGTAACAAGGGAGAATTGTTAGCCTGATTGATGTAGTCTTAGAAACCACATTTTAGATATGAAAATAATTTCACTGAGTATCAAACCAGTGCCTTACCAAAAAAAAAAAAAAAAAATACTGGTGTTAAAACTCAAAAATACATGTACACTTTTGGAGAGGAAGGAATTAAAATAAAGGACCAGAGAATCATAAGATATAGTGCTGGGAAGGACCTCACAAAGTCATTTGGTCTAGCCCCCTGCTCAAGGCAGGATCCTCCCTGACTAAACTATCCCAGCCAAGTATCTATCTAACCTGATCTTGAAATCTTCCAAGGATGGAGATTCCACAATTTCACAAAGTAGCCTGTTCTGGTTCCTCCTAATCTCCAACCTAAATATCCTCTGCAGCTGCAGTCTGAGACCGCTGCTCCTAGTTCTTTGCTGTACAGCCACAGAGAAAAACCCATCTCCATCCTTGTCATAATCACCTTTCAGATATTTGAAGACTGCTAGCAAATCCTCCCTCAGGCTTCTCTTCTCCAAACTAAATAAATCTAGCTCTCCCAGCCTTTTCTCAAAAGTCCTGCCTCCTAGGCCTCTAATTATTTTGCTGTTCTGTGCTGAACCCTTTCCAAACTGTCCACATCCTTCTTAAAGTGTGGGGTCCAAAACCGGACACAGTACTCCAAGTGAGGTTTCACATATGTGATGGAGAGAGGAAGAATCACTTCCCTTGATTCACAAGTGACACCCCTGTTAATACAACCCAGCACGCTGTTGGCTTTTTTCCAACTGTTGGTTCATATTCATTTTATGGTCTATTGTAACCCCCAGGGCCTTCTCTACAGTACTGTAGCCTAGCCAGTCATTCCCCAGTCTGTATTTATTCACACAATTATTCTGTCCCAAGTGCAGGACTTTGCACTTGTCCTTGTTGAATCTCATCTGATTCAGGTCATTCTGGATCCTAGCCATTCGGCAAATCCACAAACTTGGCATCATCTGCAAATGTGATAATCATGCAACTCAATCCCCTCATCTAAATCATTAACAAAGATATTCAACAATATGCGAACCAGGACAGACCCCTGGGGAACCCCACTTGATACCACCTCCCAAACAGATGTTGAGCCACTGATGACAACTTGTTGAGTATGATGATCTAACCAGGTATACATTCTCTTTAGAGTACTTTCATCCAGTCTTTATTTCCTTAGCTTGTTAATGAAAATGTCATGAAAGATGGTATCAAAAGCCTTGTTAAACTCAATGTATATCACATCCACAGCTCTCTACCCACTCATAGAGCCTGTTACTTTATTGTAGAAGGCTGGTTAGTATCATAAGGCAAGCATCAGGTTAGTTGCAGTATAGTAGTTCTGATGGAAAAGGTAGTGAATCCTAGCATTTACCAAGTAAAACACACTTTCAAGTCATGTTTTCCTAGAACCACACTTGCCACATTTTGATATTACATAAATGTAAGTTTTAAAGTTGTTAGTACAACTACAATAAAATGTGTGACATCTTTCCCCTTGTAAAGTCAATGAAAAGTCAATATACCTGCAGTGGGTGAGAGAATGTTTCCTCCCAGAAGTCACAGTCCCTGAAGGCCCATAATATCACTGGGCCCTACGTGTCCTACTTCCTAAGATTGTTACAAATGCTGCTCTTAGCAAGAGAGACTTCAAAATAACTATAAAGCAATTGTTCTGTAATCATTATTAAACAAGTTTTCTGTTTAGAGGGGAAAACAAGGTACCTTGTGAGGTTATCCAATCAAAATCAACAGAAGAGGAAGAGGCAGGTTGCTTACTAACCTTGCTTTCTAAAATAAATGGATATGGACAATGGTGTAATAAAAATGTAACTAATTGCAAAGACAGACATGGAAGTAAATGGAAAATGGGCTAAAAATGCAACATGGGCTTACTGAAGTTTGGTTGAGCCTGACCAACCCTTTGATGAGATGGTGGATTTTCTACACCAGGCAAGTCTGATTCTAACAGGACCTGAATAACATATTCGATATGGTGTTATATGCAAAATTATTAGTTTACCTGGAAATGATGATGCTTAGCAGAACTGCAATGTAAATAAGAACTAGATAATGGAAGATGACAAACAGGCTGTGCTGAAAGGAGAATGATCAGGTTGGATAGAGGTTGCTAGCAGAGTTTCTCAAGGCTGAGACTTACATATTTAATAGTGACACTGACACAAATAAGGACATGCTAATGAAATTTGGTGGTGACAAAATTATAAGTCACTGTCAGCGTTAGAGGAGGACTGAAGTACAGTTCAGGATGACCTTGAGGACTGCAGTAACGGAAATGGGATGATATCATAGAACTGGGATTGTCAGGGTCATGCACTCAAGGGCTAATAAGAATTTCTGCTAAAATTGGGAGCTCACAAGACAAAAATGACAGAGGGAAAAGACCTAGAAGTAAAAGATAATAAGTCATCAACATATGGCAGCTGTAACAAAGGAAAGTGGAATCGTAGGGTATATTAGGCGACACCTTTTCAGTAGAGACCTGGAAGTCATAATGACATTGTACAGAGCACTGATGACTGAGATCTCACTTATTTAAAATGTAGTGTCTCTGGTCAACATAATTAAAAACAGGAACCATGCAGAGAAGGACTACTAGGATATTTGGACAGACTTACAAAAGTAGACAAAAAACTTGAGTTTGTTGAGCCTGCAAACAAAAGGCTGAAACAGGATATAAATTCTTTAGTGCAGCATATAAAAGGGAGGATGAAGAGCTCCTTAAACAAAAAGAAAATATTGGCACAAGAACAAATGGGTACACATCTGAATCAAATACGGATAAACAGATTGCCCCAAATAAATTTGGGCTGAAGATTAGAAGTTTTCTGACCATCAATAGCATAATGTTCTGGAACAGCTTTCTAACTGGACAGCAAAAAACTGCAACGCAATGCTGGGGGCAGTGCCAGCTGCTGCAGATGTTTTTGCCCCTTCTCCTACTCTCCAAACAAAAGCATGACTTGGAGCTGCTGTTCCAATCACCTTCCCCTCCCCAGTTATACTACTGATTAAGAGGTATTATATGACAATTTCTTGCAAAAAACAGGGGACTTCTAGGAAGACTGATGAAGTCCCTGCCAGTCTTACAAAAGCAATACAAGACTGTAAGGCAGATGGACATCAAGTGCTGCAGCACTTTATAGCGGTACAAAAACCATAGTGCTATGAAGGATGTACGCATGTCCAGCTCCCACCCCTGTCTGGAACACTACAAAAGTTACCACTGTCATGCTCTATGGTCAGGGGGTGATGAGGTGCTGCTCCTATAAAAAGACCGTGGGAATTCGTGTCTGACACCATGGAAGCAGCCCTGCTCCCTGTCTCAGAAGAAGAGCTGCAGCTGGGCAGCACCTCTACTCCCTAGCAGGCTGTCATTGGGCTGGCTACTCTTCCTCCTTCTCCCCCATGGTGGGGTAAGAGGTGGGGAGAGAGCAGGCATTGTGGGATGCTGAGACATGGCCCCCCTGCAGTGCTGCAGGTAACTGCATAGACATCAAATGTGCAGTTGCAAGATGTAGTGCTACAGAAAATTCCCACTTTAACTAAGAACATTTCTGTCCCACATGCACCATTTCTGTAGTGCTTACAGGTAAGGTGCATGTCTGTACAGCCACTTTTTGTAGCACTAAAGGGGTCTACATAGTGCTACAAATGTAACAGAAGAGGTGCTTAACATCAGACATCTAAACCTGTATGTAGATACCTAAATCTGTTTGTTTTAAAAAACTAAAAGTGCTGACTTAGTCACAATTTAGTTACATGGGTAGTCCAACTGATTAAATAAGGGCTCATAACTATGCCCTTGTTCCTAACGTATCATTTACTGTGATTACAGATGGTCTTATACTGTGGAAAAAAGAGTTTATTCAGATGTTTGAAGAAACTTGTTTACTTTTTACAAGAGCACGAAAAGTCAGTTTACTAGTAAAAACACATGTCAAAACAGCTCATTTTAAGAGATGGGTTTCAAAACACCTTGGATTTCTAATCAAAATTATTCATCCTAAAAAACTGTTAGGATTGATTCCCCAGTGGTCCCAGACCTGGCTTCCCACAACCTGGTGTGTCACTGAGTTGATTTTACCAGTTTTATATAGAGGAACTGTAATCCAACCCTAAAGCTTCAGAAATGCACTAGTCCTTAAAAGGGAGATGCATTGATCTGGATACTCAGTAGCAGCATATGAAAGACTTGATAACTTGATGCGCTGATCAGATACTACCTTTGTTCACTGCCATTGTGAAAAAAATAGAAGAAAGGAAAAACATGTCTTTATTCTAGGAGTTACACACATTCAATCAACTTATTGATCTGTATGGTAAAATAAAAAAATTACTTTAAAAATACAAAAATATCAAAACTAGCTGTGGAAAGTTCTCAAGTAATTGTGAATAAATACATAAAGAACAATCATCTTAAGCAATTTGCAAGAATAAAAGCCAGATGTTTGCTTTTACAAATTACCTTTATGAGTTTTCCATTGCTTGTGAACAAAGTCAGTCAAAGACACTGGGTTTAGATAAAGGTAACAATAGATAAGGTTGGCTGTTGATTCAGAAAGTCCACTTGTTGGACTGTACTGGGGAAAAAAGTTTAGTTTGTTTTGCTTTGTTCTTAATTGAGTTTCAAGTTTTGTTTCTGCTGCTTTGCTATTTCAAACAATGTCAATGGGGATGCAGAATATGCAATAAACTGCAAATAAACAGAATGCCTGAGGTAACTACTATTATTTAGAGCAATGTTACATTACAGTTATTTGTTTATTATTAGGACCATGTGATTCTCTATAGTGCTGGCTGTGACAACAAAAGATAAATACTATCAATTGGCAGATTAACAATTCAAGACAAAAATTATTTTGATAGCCAAAATCAAACACATTTGAAAATTCAGTGGCAACCTGCTAATGGAGAAGGACAGCAGCAATCGGCTTTTTCAAAAACCCT